CAACAAAATGCTGCTCCCAAATCCACTGACCTTGGCATCAAAATTGATATTCCAGATTTTGAAGGTCGCCTTCAACCAGATGAATTTATCGACTGGTTGCACACTGTGGAGCGTGTGTTTGAACTCAAGGATATTCCTGACGACAAGTGTGTGAAGATCGTCGCCATCAAATTAAAGAAGCATGCATCCATTTGGTGGGAGAATCTCAAACTCAGTCGAGAAAGAGAAGGCCGCAACAAAATTAGAACTTGGGAGAAAATGCGTTGGGAACTCACTCGTAAGTTTTTACTTGACCGTTACTACCAAGATAATTTTGTTAAATTTCATAACTTGCAGCAAAAATCTTTGACTGTGGAAGAATATACTATGGAGTTCGAACAATTAATGATGAAGTGTGATGTTTGGGAGAAGGACAAGCAAACCATAGCTCGTTATCTTGGAGGGTTGGACTATGACATTTCCAAAGTTGTTCAACTTCAACAATATTGGACTTTGGATGATGTCATTCGGCTAGCATTGAGGGTTGAAAAGCAAATCTCAAAGAAGAATATCACTAGTGCTTCAAAACCGCGGGATTTTGGAGCTAGCAGAGGGACTCAAGCCTCAAAAACTGCTGCTAAGACCCCTGCCAAGACTAAGAAGGAAGTCAGCTCGAGCCGGCCAGCTCAATCTAACACTCGAAAGTGTTTCAAGTGTCAAGGATTTGGCCACATAGCCTCCAACTGTCCAAATAGGAGAGTTGTCACCATTATCGAAGGAGAAATTCATGAAGCCTCAGAAGATGAAACAGAAAAGGAGCAAAATGATGAAACTGAGTCACCCCAGCTTGAGGAAGAACTCATCCCAGCTGACCATGGAGAATCTTTGGTTGTGTGTTGTAGTCTACATGCTACCATAACCAAGGATGAAGATTGGCTTCGACATAACATCTTTCACACCAGATGCACTTCTTGAGGGAAAGTCTGCAATGTCATCATTAACAGTGGAAGTTGTGAGAATGTTGTGTCAAATTATATGGTTGAGAAGCTAGGTCTTCTTGTCAAAGATCATCTCCATCCATACAAGTTACAATGGCTACGAAAGGGAAACGAGGTAAAAGTAACCAAGCGTTGCCTTGTCTCTTTTTCTATTGGTAACAAGTACCAAGATGAAGTATGGTGTGATGTTATTCCTATGGATGCTTGTCACTTGTTACTTGGTCGCCCTTGGCAATTTGAC